ATTTGGCCTAACCTAACACAAAATTTGAGTTAAAGGAATATTCTAATACAAATACATATATATAAATATCAGTTTTATTAAAAATTTACATTGATAAAGACACCACTGAGAGCAGACTACCTACAAAACTTACTAATTGAAATACACTGACAACAAGATTACAGTACACTGTACTCAACATTTCAAAAAGTTTTTAAGTTTCTGCAGGTAACCTACCTAAGTCTGGTAGATTTGTTCATTTACAAATAGATTAATCTTAGTAACAGATCAATCTAAACAAAGAGGCATGGCAGTGGGGTTGTTGCAATTATGATGTTATGCTCCCATATCCTGAGTAACAGAGGTACCAAACACATCACCATCACCCAGGTAAAGCTCAAGAGGGGAAAACAAATAGAAATAAACAATTTCTCAATGAGGACCACAACAACCCAGCTGACAAAGCTCTTTCAAACATAAGGTTTTATATTTAAAATGAAGCATGGCCATATTATTACAGAAACTTAATATCACATTCTTGTGTTCTAACAAAATTGGGTAAAAAATATAATGTTCATACAGTATAAATTACCTTAAGAGGGCTATCAAGTTAAAATACAGTATCATATCTTCAAAGTCCACTCGACAGTGTATGTTATTTTTTTCAAATTATTTCATTTTAAGAAAGTATCCTCACGGGAATGTCAGTGATGACATGACTGTACGGTGAGGCACAATAAATGAACAAGAGGCTGTCAAAGAATAACATTCAGTGAGCTTCAGTACATTACAAATTTCAAGTGACAGGCATGGTAATCAATTAATAAGCACCAGCTGACTATAAAATACACTTCCAAATTTTGTCATGAACTTTATGTTCAAAAATAATTATACAAAATTATTTGTGTTGCATATCTGTAGCTACAGATACAGTGTCATTTATAACCCAAAATAAAAATATATAGAAATAATGTAAATTTATATCTACGATCATATTTTCTATAAAATGAAAGCTTACAACGTACTATGTACTGAAAGCGATAAAAAATTATGGTGACCGAAGATTCTTTAACACTAACTTTTTTATTTCAATAAAAAAATATAAACTGAAGAATTTAATATATAAGAGTTGAGCTTAAAAGTTCAGTTACTCTTGCACAAAACATTTACATTTTGAGCAAAGTCAATAAGTTTCTTACCCAATGGAACCAAGATAGCATAAAGAAACAAGCAGAAACTCTGTAATATATAATTCAGTTAATCTTTTTTGCTGACCTGCAGCAGGAGATCATAATCAAACCAAAGTTGAATGAACTAAATGGAGATGAAAAAATACATAGATTAAACTATCCTTAAGAAAAGTTATGCAATGATGAATTAAATTTGATAAACGTAGTTTTAAAATGCCAGGTTAAAATCGTACTCCTGTAAAACAATTACTAAATTTGATGAACGTAGTTTTAAAATGCCAGGTTAAAATCGGACTCCTGTAAAACAATTACTAAATTTGATGAACGTAGTTTTAAAATGCCAGGTTAAAATCGGACTCCTGTAAAACAATTACTATTTTGACATTTATATACGCTAACCAATAAGTCTCAAAATGTTTATGTTTGTACAAGACACAACTGTTTTATGAGACAATTCTTGCCTTCAATACACTACAGCATTTGCAATGACTGAAAGCCTGTTAACAAATTGTAAAATTTGGTAATCGTCATCAGTTACTCAAAAATAACATTTCAAAAGGTGTTTCAAAGGAAATAATATTCACAACATGACAATAAATCAAGACGTTCACAAATTTCCAAAAATGACTGAACAATAGGTTGCTCACATTGAATGAGGACAATACACACACACACTAAAAATATGAATGGAAAAATTCAGTGAAATAAGTAACATCACAGTCTGAGATGCTTGTAATTGCAGTACAAGTAATCTCTCTCTCTTAATCTTCTCTCAAATTCTGAGGCAATAGGATTTAGAATAAACACAAAGTTGAACTGTGATAACCTCTTTGTAGTGAAGACTCTGTCACCACCGGTGAAAATACTCACGAGGCATCGCGTAATTATTTTTGTTAAAAAAATGTAGCATCGTATACATCCCTCTTCAATACAAATCTATACAATTTTTTTTATGTACAAGACATTATGCTGCTTTCTTTAATAATTCTAATGTTACAAAATAAAACTATTTACAAATAAATATGTAAATCAAAACCTTGCGACGAGTCAATAAGCTGATTCATGCACGAATTAAAAATGCTTCTATTAAAAGAACTATAGTGTACTTAATATATTATCTGGAATTTAACTTACACATACATATGGGCAACCCCCCCCCCCCCCAACCCATTCTTATTTATCAGCCACTACACCTCACTACTGCTTCAAGTGTAAAAAATCTGGAATTTTGTTTACCTAAGGACAAGAAGTGCACCACCCTTTCAATTTTCAGTGCCATTTACACATGTCCAGTGCCTCATGCACTTGATATTCAACAGCCTCTGCTGACTCATGTTTGTAATAAAGAAACACTGCTACCTATCTATCCTATATGCACTTATATAGTAATCATCTTTGTGCAATATCCATTTAATATTCTGGTGCCAGGTAGTTTTCAAATTGTGCATGATAGCTTCCCTTTCATACAAACAAAAATTGGCCTCTTGTTATATAATGTATGAAAATATTGGGCCTTTTTCTTGATGAACATTGAATTGATTCTTGATGATACGTGATTTTAACTTTAAAATAAATAAATAAATCTACTCAGTATATATTATATATATATATATATATATATATATATATATATATATATATATATATATATATATATATATATATATATATATATATATATATATATATATATATATATATATATATATATATATATATATATATATATATATATATATATATATATATATATATATATATATATATATATATATATATATATATATATATATATATATATATATATATATATATATATATATATTTATTTATATATCACAAAATCATAACCAATGTAAGAGTCTTCTAATACAAACAGTTTACATGAAATATTTCATTTAAATTAAACCAATATCTAAAATATTGATGTAATCAAATCAGCTGCCAAATAATAATAGATTTATGAATGAGAGCAATAGATCGCACCAAGTATGATGTTTGTATAATTCAAAGCTAAACAAATGCAATTAATCTCAGCCAATGTTGTTAGTATAATTACAACAACAAGGACAATTTGAAATACTGTACTATGGACCTCAGTCATCAGGAACAAACGAGAAAAAGCTCCCAGTGCTGACATTGACAAAGAAATTATACTTTTTTTAACAAGAGGAAAAGACTGCAAGAGATAGCTATTAAATACCAACCAACAATTCAAGAACAGTACTGATTTGACGAGAAAATTTAACAAAATGAAAATGCAAATAAATAAAATTGATTAATACTCAGGAGTACTGGACAGTACTTGTATACAAAAAAGAAGACACTTATGTAAGAAAGTAGATCAATAGTATGTATGTATGTATGTATGTATGTATGTATGTATGTATGTATGTATGTATGTATGTATGTATGTATGTATGTATGTATGTATGTATGTATGCATGCATGTATGTATGGATAGATGGTAAGATGTACTCACCTAGTTGTGCTTGTGGGGGTTGAGCTCTGGCTTTGTGGTCTTGTATGTATGTATATAATGAAAACATTATGAAATGGTACAGAATCAACCCCAAACTGCTTAAATAAAGAAAGCCAAAAATATAAAAATGTGTAAGCAAAGTAGAATCTTAAGTTAACGAACATTACGGAAGATATTCAATGGAAAGAGTCAAAGCAGTTCATAAGCCAGATCACTTGTGAAGGATAAGCACTGGAACGCTTTGTACTGTACATTATGGGTTAAAATTGGACGACGAGGCACTCATGGATGGAGGACACCAAAGTGGTGAGAAAGGAATTGAAAGCACTGGTCAGCATAAATTTATGGTAATTACCTAACAACTCATCTTAAGTTATATTTCCCAGGATCAATTAAAGAGTTGCTTAGGAGTGACCCAAAGATTGCAACACTGGTGTTTAATTACACAGCCTATCTTAAGCTTCATCTAACAATGTCATGCCCAGATTAATTTTCACTTGTTAACCTAATAAAAAATCAATAGTTTATAGGGATTATCATGGCTGCAGGTGACAAAACCCCCAAAACAAACGCCCATAATTATATACCTGTAGTTACTAATGACAGCCTGCACAACACATTTCCAATGGAAAACTAATAAAATGATAAAATATGATTAATAGCACATTAAAAAATAGCAATTTCACCATTACAAGAAGTTGCTAGTGACAAATGATTGGACACTTGTTTGTTTGGTTGAACTAACCCAATCTATTTTTGTTACGCTAAAATTCAAATAAAATTCAAAGGTTTACCATACAAAATTTAAGAGAACATTACAGCATTTTAAAGGCAATAAAAACTCACTAAGATATATATACAATGAAAGCTGAAGAATAAATAAAAATTAAATTTGTTCCAAGATAGCAAGGACATAGAGCAACAAGTACAAATTATACCAGTAAGTGAACAAAATATTAAAGAAAAAAAATATTTAATGAGACAAAATAAGTGAGCATGTAAAAGCATGAAGTCTAATGGAATGTATGGAGATATTTGGCAGAGATATGCATGAACCATCCTATTTTTGAATACAATACAGCAAAACTGAATAAATACAGAATGTGAATTAAGGAAAACCAAACGTACACATTGACCTCCTTATCCTAAATCTGAAGAATATAAATTGTCATCCACACTTTCGTGGAAACAAACATTCTATTCACCTGGGCTCTAAGTGACTCGAACCTTGACCTCCACGTGTGTGAGAGGCCGAAGCTCAATCAACGAGCTATGGAGTAGATTTAATCAGGAAAGTTTCCAGAAGCAGCATACTGTTGCTGCTTCTGGAAACTCTCCTTATCAAGTCTACTAATAGCTCGGTCGATAGACCTTCAGCCTCATACGTGTGAGGTCTATGGTTCAAGCCCGAAGAATATTTATGAATTACATTTTTAAACATCATGAATTGGATTTATGACTCGATTCATACAAGGAATTGTTTTTGTTATATACTGTACACATCTGGAGCACATCATGAAGGTTTAGATAATTTGAAATGATGTTTCAGAATGTTATTTACACTAAAATAATGTACTACAGATGCAATATAGCATTATGGTAGGAGGTCAATATCTTGCAATCATAACGTAGGAGACTAAGCTCCATCTCATAACCAGTTGGATGCAATGTAAATACAGCTGGCTAACTCATTTTATTACCACCCATAAACTACCCTTTCTCATCAATGACGATAAGATACTAGGTGACACAGGTGGGATTACCGTCACTTCCAAGTGAACACCTCTTGTAGCAAATTGTTTTCACATAATATTTATAAATTATAGAAGTGTAAATTAATTGTACTTTGCGTCAGGATTCATAAAACCCTCTAAATCAAAATCGTCCTCCTCTATCTCATCATCACCAATTTCATTTGCATTGCCTATCTGTTTACATTCATTCTCATCCTTATCAATGTTGTTACTGTCTATTTCATACCCATCTTCACTGTATGGTTCAAGAAAGTGCACAGCTAGGTGTCGGTAAAATTCTGAATTATTAGTAAATTTTAGACTGCATTCATTACATTCGTAAGTTGAAGAAATTTTATTTGGACAGTTGTCAGAGGAAGAAGGTCCACTAAGTTGACGTGACCATTTAGGAAGTTCTGATAAGTGTACTTTTGCATGTTCCCAAAATTCAATTCGTGTAGGGAAAAAGTCATCACACTTGGGACAATGGAAACGCTCAGTTTCTTGCAACTCCAGTCCTTCAGTAGCTAACAGCTTATCAATGTTTTCATTTCTCATATTTGCATGGTGTAATATTTTACCTCGAAGGGTACTTTTGCAGACCCAACAGTAGCTCTTAACTTTAACGACATCTAAAATGTCAGGAGGCACAAGTACATCCCACATGCTCAAGTCACTGTAATGTTTTGAAATATGCTTACATAAACACAATTGATTTTTAAATATCATACCACACACTTCACACATTTGAGGCTCGGTTATCATTCGTGTTATCAAATTCTTATGCACAGCTAAAATATGATTTATAGCACTTTCTTCTTTAGTAAACTTATCTGGACAATATTTACATTTCTGAGGGGCCTTTTTATAATTTGATGACTCAATTCCATCACTCTCCTCTTCCTCAATTTCCAAATCTTTGTTTGACTTCAGTGATAATTCAGATTTTCCATCGCCGTCGTTATCTGACACTTCCACATATTCAACACCATTTTTATTTATTATTTTGTTTTTAAATTTTGAGACAGTATTATTTTTTTTATCCTTTAACACACAGTGCTTGATATGCTCATTGTATTTTTTAATATTTGGAAGTATCTCATCACAATTACCACATACATGAACTGGTCTCCTTTCTGGTGGACAGTGTTTGCACTTCTCAAGATGATTGATTAAATTACCTTCATACTGGTATTCAACTTCACAATATGGGCATACTACTTTTCTAACTTCTTTATTGTGCACTTCTCTACAGTGAATTATGCTTTCCTTCCGAGTGTCAAAGAGCGCTGAACATTGGAACCGACAACGAATCTTGTCCTTATGAATCTGTCTTTGGTGTCGTAGTAATCTAATAATACTCTTGTGGGAGACATGACAAGCTGGACAAGTGAAGGTTTTCCTATGTTTCACCCGATGATGTGCACGCAAGGCCTTTGCACTTTTACATGTAACATTGCATAAATCACATGGAATAGCTGGCTTCACACGTTTGGACACATTCACTTGTCTTGATGGTTGTGTTTGTGAGAGATTCTGAATCTGATGTACTTTTATAGCATGTTGATACAAATCAGTTGGAGCATAAAAGTCAAGGGCACACAGTCCACATCTGAAAACTGCACTACCTCCAGAATATGAAGATTCCTCTTGGTCCATATCTGAATCTTGTTCATTTGAGCTCTCTTCCATGGGTTCCTGCTTAATGGTAGGGATTACTGATGCACCAGGTAATGAATCTGAAAGTGGATTCTTAGGTGTAAGGGATGAAGCAGACTGTGTCATAGAACTGCATGAAATAGATGATATGTCTGTCTTGTTGACTGAACTCAAACTGTGAATACCATTACCCGCTGATGATATATCCAATTCTCTTTTAAGAGAGGACACTTCCACTGAACAGATGGGCACAAGATTTTCTAACTTAATATCCTGAGAACTAACAGATGAGCTAGATAATCCTCCTTCCTTTATCAAGTTGTCAACATCCTGTGTTAATAAGAAATCGTCACTGATTTTGCTGCTCGAAACTCCTAAATGCTGGGCAATATGTATTTTTAGCTGGTACTTGTTACGTGTTTCCTTATTACACAAACGACACACAAATTGCCTCTTTTCATTAGCTGGAGGAGGATCCACAAAAATATTGATTGGTTTGACATATTCCTCCTCCGATCGCCGTACATAACCTTTTTTTTCTTTTATATGGCCATGTTGCTCTTTCAAATGATTGATTAATTTAGCCTCAGAATCATAGTCCGTATAACAATGTTTACATTCATGGATATTATGAATTTTTTTCTTGTGGATTCTCTGAGTAACTTCTGTAGCAAAAAGTTCACTGCATATGTTGCATCTCACATCAGGATTTGCTTTCTTGTGTGTTATCCCATGTATCCGAAATCTCTTGGTATCTTTTGTCTTGAAGCTGCATTTGTCACACTGAAGAAGTGGCCTGTGCGTGCGCAGATGCTGAAGGTATTTGCTCGACTTGTTAAAAGCCTTACCACACTGTTCACATACCTTCTTCAGTCTTATCACACGATCAGGTTTCTTCACCCTCTTCCGAACCAGTACCGGTTTGGGTGATGGAGATGAAGTCGTCTCCGCCATGTGGGGGTCTGGGGGATCCTGGGACTCAGGGGACGCCACGATGGGGGTATCCATGCCTGCAGGCACAATGAACTGTCAGCAAATATCATCTTTAACCATGAAAAACACGGAAGGGTTTCAATCCCTCACTGATAGTGAACCCCACATGTTGGTCTCCAGAATGATCACAATCTCATGGCACTATAAGCACACACATCAGCCACACATCATTTAAAAGTATGAGAAGAACAATTTCCCTCTCCTAGGTACTTATTAATAATGCACAACAAATTAAAAATTCATATTTCACTAGGCAGCAGTGCAGGTCTTGTACATCAATGGTACCGAGTACACAAGTTTTTACTTAAGGTGTTACATACATCAGTTTATCAAAATTTTGAAGACATTTATTTTATGTAGAGATAAGAAGTACCGGTACATTACAAATATAAATAATTCCTTAAAAGAATCCAGAAAAAATCAACTGAAATTTCTAAATTTCATTCAAATATTTAAATACATTATATATTATACATACCAAAATTATTTTTGTCAAAAGCATTTCAAAAATATTTACATATACATCTTAAAAAAAATACAAACCCATTCACGACTTGGCATGTTCTGGAGTGTTCTTTTCACGGGAAAAATTTTCATTTCACGGGAAAAGTGTTCATTTCACGGGAAGAAGTTCTTTTAATACATTACACAAATGATTACAGATATCCTACCTAAAGTTTATATACAAGAATTAATATTGCACTATACAAGTCTCTTCACTAATGTCATGAGGTATCATCTGATCAAAGAACTATACAAATCCCACTTAAAATGAATCAAAACCTATTATTTTTGCAGGTCCACTTTCATCATCATCAGGTACAAAGTCACTTATCTCTTCACTGGGAGGGTACTGTGCACCATAATAGTCACCCATTATGTCCATTTGCGAACTATCATCTAAGCTAAACATTGAATCCTCTCCAACCAAGTAACCAGGATATGGCAGAGAATCCTGGGGCATGCCAGCCTGTCCATACAATAATTCTGAGCCCTGAGCTGGATTCTGTCCACCGGACCCAGTGCTGAGTTTTCGTCTCACTTTAGCAGAATTATTCTTTCCTTTCTTTTGTTTTGATGTATTTTTGGGTCCTGATTTGGAAGCTTGTATCTGAGCTTTCAATGCTGCAGTCCAACTGAGATTGACTTTTTTGTTACTTGGCGATGGGAGTTTTTTGGGTGTTTTTTTCCCTTGCTTCATATCTTGAGCTGATGGTTCAACTGCTGAAGCATCTTCTTCAGTTGACGTAGCATCCGACAGAGAAGCACTATCATTAACCTTGTCTTTCTCAATTTTCTCTATCTTTTGTTCCTCAACTTTAACAATTTTTACTTCAATTTCTTCAACTGTATTATTCAATCTTTTTCTTTTTTCAGCTTCAGAATTTTTTTCATCACTAACATTCTTTTCACCAATGCTTCTTTTATCATTAACGATTCTCTTTTCTGAACTATTGCTATCCAAATATTTTCTTTTATCTGGGCCCTTTTTCAAGGGAATCAAGTCTTCTTCATCTTCTGGCTCTTTGTAAGATATTGGCACACACCGAGCCCTTCTTCTAAACACAATACTTGCTTCTTCACTGTCATCATCATCAGATTCATTGTCCTGCTCTTCATTTTTTTTCTTTTCATCTTCACTCTTATCTTCATTTCTTGGTTCATCTTTATCCTCATCTTCCTCTTCCTCCTCCATCACTTCTTCCTCCTCTTCCTCCTCCTCCTCCTCTCCCTCCTCGTCTTCCTCTTCAGAACCTTCATCTTCATCCTCACTGGGCACCTTTGGGTGTTTTGCAGCTTGGTGCTTCTCGAGTTCAGATCTTTTGGCAAAGATTGACACACAGCGCGGGCATCGGTATGGTTTATTCGGATGTGCATTCTTTTGATGCTGTTTCAACCTAAGCATTTTACGATATTTGGCCTTGCAGTTTGATTCTGGACAACGATGAACCTTATGAATGATAACATGTCTATTGTAAGGTCCACAGCTTCGAAATATCTTGCCACAATGTTCACAACCTCTGAATGGGTAAAGTGTTTCATGAATCTTCTTCATATGATAGGTCATGGATTTCTCTCTATTGAAAGTAATATTGCACTTTGTACACCTAAATAAAGAGCCAACTTTCAACAGGAATGACGGCCGTTCATTTTTTTCACCTTTATCTTTATTTGGAGGTTCGTATTTTTCCTTCGAGACTGGAACTTGCTTTTCTTTGGTTACTGCTGTTCCTGCTGCTCCCTTTTTGTGTGGGTCTGGTTTGCCTCTTGTTACATGATCTTTATTTTTCTCTATATTCTCCCCACCTGTTCCTTTTGCCCTTGTTAAGTGATCTTTATTTTTGTCATGATTTTCACTACCTGATCCTTTCCCTCTTGCTAGGTGATCCTTATTTTTTTCAAAATTTGCTCCACCTGTTCCTTTTCCTCTTGGTAGTTGATCTTTATTTTTTTCAAGATTCTCATTGCCTGTTCCTTTTCCCTTTGTTAGGTGATCCTTACTTTTCTCCAAATTCTCTCCACCTGTTCCCTTACTTCTTGATAAATGATCCTTATTTTTTTCATGGGTGTCTGAAGTAGTTAATTTGCCAGTACCTTGTGGTGTGCTTCTTAAAATTCTGACAGTCTCACTGTTTGCTTTGTCTGAAGGTGTGTGCGATTTATTTTCTTCCTTCTCTTCTGCACTGCTTGTTGTCTTGCTTGGTATTGGTTTTTTCACCACCTGCCCTTTTCTTGTGGTAGTATGTGCTGGCATGTGAAGATTTAGCTGGTACTCACTACGACACACTTTACTACAAACTCTGCAGGTGAGAGATTCTTCCTTCTTCTTTCTTTCTCTCTCCTTCCTTTCCCTTTCTTTCCTCAGTTCCTCCTCCTCCTCATCCTCCTCCTCCTCCTCCTCCTCCTCATCCTCCTCTTCTTCATCTTCCTCATCCTCTTCATCTTCCTCTTCTTTAGTCTCCTGAGCTTTAGCTGCCACTTGAGATCGTGTGGCTCTGGAGTGTTCATTTTTCTGATGGTGTTTGAGCTTGACCAAATGACTAAAGCTCATATTACAAATATCACAGGAAAACTGTTTCTCTTCCTCAACTTCTGATACTGATGATGATGTAGTGCTCTCGTCGTCGTTGTCGGTGTCATCATCATCATCATCGTCATCATCACCCTCCTCTTCCTCCGATTCACTTTCACTTTTTGTCTCCTCTTCACTGTCTGCCAATTTTACTTGGGGTTTACTTCGTGTGACTCTTGTCGGCGGTCTAGGTGGGTATGTGACTGCCTTGGACACTGCTGCCTTACTTGGAGGTCTCACATTCATCACTTTACCATGGGGTAGATTCTTGACATTCTTAACATTTCCACCTTTAGGGAATGAAGCAACACTCTGTGCACATTTTGCTTTCCCTTTTCCATTCACACTTGCCCCTTTATCCATTAACTCTTTATGGTCGTTGTCATCTTTACTAGATTTCTTTTGCTCTCCCTTTCGTTTCTCCTGTTCATTTTTTTTCCTTCTCTGTTCTTCTTCCTTTGCTTTCCTCTCTCTCTCCTTCATTTCTTTTTCTCGCTTTTCCTTTTCTATTTTTTCTCTTTCCCTTTCTTGTTCCATTTTCTCCTTCTCTTTCTTTTCTCTCTCCTTTTTCTCCCTCTCTCTCTTCTCCCTCTCTCTTTTCTCCTTTTCTTCTCTCTCTTTTTTCTCTCCTTCCATTTTCTCTCTTTCCTTTCTCTCTTGTTCTTCCCTCGCAATGGCCTCTTTCTCTTGTGCTATTTCCTTTTCAAGCGCTACAACTTTTCTCTTCTCCTCACTATCATCGTCACTCTCCATCAGTTCGTGTTTCAGCCGCTCATGATTTGTCAAGTGATGTTGTAGCTTAAAGGATTCCCCACACTTTTTACACTGAATATGAGGCTGATCTCTGTGATTCTTAAGAATGTGGAACCTCATGCCATACTTGCTTTTCACTTTGATTTTCTCCTTACAAATGGGACACTGCTGCATGCCTCTGTGTTTATGTTTTAAATGAGCTAGGAGTGATGATCTTTTCCTAAAAACAAGGTTACAAAAATCACAGGGTAATTTAATCAGAAACCTTTTTAGAGAAGTATCAGGGTTTGGAATATACTCATCATCACTTTCATGTTTTATGATGTGTGGTTGAGATTCAGTAACAATGATGTCATCCTCCTCCCAAGCCCTCTCATTGTATTTACCTGAAATTGCCCCTTTCTTTCCATCAACAGGAGAGAAAACATCCCGCCTCAATGAATCTCCGCCAATTTTGGCAGTTTTCTTTATATCATTTTTTATAAAATTGACAGACTTGCTCAGTCTGAAGAGAGAGGAAAGGAAAAGATGATGGGGCGGTGTAGGGGGCCGGAACTTGATGGGCTCAGGATGACGCTTTCCTTGTGACCGGGCCTTAGAGGGGCTGCCTCTTGGAGTGTTGGGAGGGAATCCCCTTCGACTGGACAAGGGAGGGCGTCCCCTCTTGCGTCCCCTGGGTGGTGGTGGTGGTGCTGGGGGCATGGCAGGGTATTGGGAGGGTGTGGGAGCCTTCCTCTGAAGCAGTAGTCCAGCGTAGTATTCCTTCCCTGAAGAAACAAGTCAAGTATTACCAACTGTTCATGAGGTGTTCCTCTTCAACTGAAGATCATACAGGTAGAATGGGGAGAAGAAGCCTTTGTCGCCTACTGCTGGTGAGAGGGCTTCAACTTTGGCTAGAAAACCATTAGTTGACCACACTTGAAACGACTACAATAAATGTTTTTTTTTAAGCTTCAATTTTTTTCTCAGATGTTTCCACTGTTAAATGAAGTATTAGGCACTTTCTTTCTCAAAGATCATAGTAAGGCATTTTCAAGCATAAAAGTACTGTACATTGACCTTGAAGCTCCTCCATCCCCATTGAAATCACCTAAGAATGTAAGAAAATAAATATTCATAGCAATTAATGTATCAAGCACTGTATAGTAGTAAATAATTTATAAAAATTATTTACTCGAGGAAAGAATAACAATATTAGAGATTACATAATATTATACTGTACATACATTCAAGAAAATAAACATGTAACAAAATATGTAACTCAACTCCCCACAAACAATTTAGCAGCACTAAAGTAAAATCCTAAGCATCCCAAACTTCAGATTAATTCTTATTATTATTTATCAAATGGAAATAGAGTAATCTTACATACATAGTTGATGTCCATATATACACAAGCTTGGTGACAGAAATAATACTGTGCATGTTTTTTTCACCAATTGCTTGGCATATACAATGAAGTGAAATACACCATGTTAAAACTCATCTTGTGTGATTTTGTGCACATGAAAATTAGGGTCACTACTATACTGCAATTTGTGACAGAAGCTATTGAAAGGGAAATCTTGTATACTTTACGGAATAAATAACTGTTACATGCAACTAAGCCAGCCAGAGGCCTGGCCAGGTTGAGGACCGGGCCGCGGAGACGTTGAGCCTCGAAATCATCGCAAGGTAACCAGCCCATAAACAAAAATATTTGCAAAGTATTGTACCCATCCAGTCATTATTTATAAGGATATCAGGTGCTTGTGGTACCATAATTACTTAAAATTAATACTTATTGTAGCTTGGTTTAAAAGACAAAAATGGAGTAATTAATATACAGTATGTGTATTCCTAATACTGTATAGCTTGTTGTGCAGTAATATTTTGATTGTGTGTGTGTATGGTTACTTATTCGTCAACTAAGGATTCATCCAATTTCATCCATTTGCATGAATGTAAAAAAATACCAGTCTTATGTAATCTCACCAACCCATTTTACCTTCTTGAAAATACAAATTATTATATAGGATGAGAATTGTGTTCACGTTCCAGTTTACTCTGTATTGTTTATCATCAATAGTTTCGAAATTTCATTACCACCATCTCCTTCAGTATCTTCCAACTTCTAGCACTCTGTAAGGTTTTAATTAGTACTTTAAATGCTTTTGCTGGAAACAAAAGCTTTACTTCCAAGGATGGTTTTACAAGAAATTTTTTTAGTAAACTAAAATTAGATTTGAATAAATGGATAAATCCAAGTAATCCCAATAGCTGCCCTTGTAGAGTGTGAACAATTTTGTCCTCCCCACCCCTCCCCTTCCCTACATCCCATCATATAAAACTGGGATTGATACAACAGTTTGTAAAAGACCTTACATTTTGGAGAAGCTTCTCAAGAAATCCAACTTATGTTTCCAAAGTTCTCTGATGCACAAAATCAAGGATGGTATATTGGTGGGACCTCAAATAAATGCAATGTTTAAATCAGAAAAACTTGTAAAAGAGATGAGCAATGTTGAAAAAGCAGCATAGTGTGCATTATGTACTGAAGTTCATGGATTTCTACGAAATTGCAACGATTGTACCTACAGGGATGTGATGGCAAGACTTCCCGTAAGCTTTATTGTCACACAATTCCCCTGCATAGCCGGCAAATCTGCCTCTTCACTCTCACCTTCGTCATTGATAAACTTTTCCCAACACTACTACACTCCACCAGGACCAGCATTCATCATCAATAAGTCCATGAATATCACGCTCATGCAAGTCCTGACACCAGTCTAGACAATACACCCAGGATTCACCCCATAACCCCCCCCCCCCAATGTGACCATTGCAGGTGCACCAGCCGGTAGGTGATAACCTACAATCTACTCGATATTCTTCCAGCGACTTGTTCCAGTCGACCGTTGACAAAGGATGTGATGTCAGGGGTATAAGTACACCTGGTTTCAGCCGTCAAAGTCAGTCTCACTTCAGGTGCTCAGGAATTACGACATTATTAAGCTGGTACACCGCAAGCCTGCTTCTTCAGACCACATTTCATGTCCAAGTTAAAGTGTTTTGTAATCATTTAAGTCACAAGTGTTATTTGCATTGTGTTAATGTAAGCTTTCATGTATGGTATTATTTTCCTATTGTGTATTCACCAAGTGTTATCAGTCAGGAGTTTTTGTAATTCAGTTATTTGTTAATTTTTAATACTGTATACTGTACATTAAATTGTTATATTTTTTGGTCTGAGTTTACTCCACTCTTGCCCAATTCTCACAATGCAAAGGCAAATGCATTTATATTTATTTATTTAATAAACTTGTGTGCCACATTCCATCTGCCTAGTACAGCCGCAGTACTGTTTCACATCACGCACGTCAAGTATATGAACATTGGCTGCCGCACGTCTCTAAAAGCGCATTTTTTGCATCCGTATCTTGACGTTTTCCATGAAAACTTATGTAACAGTGAGGAGCATGGTTAACAGGTTTCACCAAGACATTGAAACAATAGAGAAGGTACCAAAGCTGTTGCAATACTGCCATGATGGGAGAATATATGTGGTCTCTATTATGCACTCACCTAGTTGTGCTTGCGGGGGTTGAGCTCTGGCTCTTTGGTCCCACTTCTCAACTGTCAATCAACTGGTGTACAGAGATTCCTGAGCCTACTGGGCTCTATCATATCTACATATGTCTGCCTCCACCTCGTCACTGCCTAATGCATTCCATCTGTTAACTACTCTGGCACTGAAAAAATTCTAATGTTCCTGCGACTCATTTGGGTACTCAGTTTCCACCTGTGTCCCCTTGTTCACGTAACCCCCCCCCCATGTTAAACAGTTTATCCTTATCTACTCTGTCAGTTCCTCTATGTTGAGAGCATAGATAGGATTCTTTGATCAAGAAAATTATGAAAATAATATCCAGCAGATGACATTTAAGGATTAACTGGTCATTATGACCAAAACACAACTGCACTTATGAAGTACAGTATAGTGCAAATTTGCTGCTTTTTTTTTAACTGTACCTTAACCCTTTAACTGCGCACCACATCATATGATGTGTTCAGTGACTTGCAGTAACTTGTGCTCCACATCATATGATGTATTGGAGTACTACGCAAGATTTAAACGGCCCACGGATACACGGGGTTCACCACACCATCAGGGCTCTTGTAAACAGACGCCATTTTATAAAAAAATCATGGGCCAAATTCCCATGAATTTTATTTATATATAACATGTTATATATAACATGTATATACAGTGTAATAACAGCAAAAGGAGTGTGGGGAAGAAGCCATTTTGGTGATGGGTGTGGCAACATCTGCATGATTTGTCATGTTGGTAGGGGTGGCCACTATGCTCTTTGGGCATTATACCAGCTTAGTTGAACAGTTATGGTGAACAAAACATGTAGATACTTATATATAACATCTGTATATAGGGTAATAAAACCACAAACAGTATTGTTGGGGGTGAAATTTTAGTGCGTCTGACCTTGAATGTGTGAGGAAAGCAGCCGCCACCTGACTGTGTGTAGCGACGTCTCTTAGTGCCTGAACTAACTATATCAACTTAGTTGTACAGTTATGGTGAACAAAACATGCAGATACTTATATATCGCATCTGTATATAGTGTGGGAGGAGAATGTGGGTGAGTCGAGGGAGGGAGGAAGTAGCCTGCCACTGGCTGCCACTGCCACTGAGCATGCCAACTTAGTGGTTCGTTATGGTGAACAAAACATGCAGATACTTGTATATAACTCGTGTATATAGTGTAATAACCGAGAAAGTATTTGTTCACTGCTTGATGAACAATAATTGAATCAACAATATACACACCATATTATTGAGTACAACGATGATTCACTCATTTTATTGTATAAATATATCACACTACACACTATTGAATAATATTACAGCAAAAAAAAAATACAAAAAATCAATCAGACATTGAAATAATTAGGTAATTATCTCTTTGTGGCAACTCCTGCCTGACAGCTGGTGAGCAACAGACCGTCTGGGACGCACACTGAGTCGGCACCTGTTTTTTGCCAGACTTCCCCGCCCTATAGCGGGCAATATATGCCACTTACGATTTTATTATTATTTTTCCCATGATCAGAGAACACAAATTAACAGGTTTAGAAGAATTTTTTTTTTTTTGGTATGCGCCTGTGGGTGACAAATGCTAAATAGCCCGGAGACACACAAGGGTTAAACTAAGTTTTCATTAGAAAACTATTATATTTATTACTTGAATTATGATAAAATATTTTGGGTGGCTTGATATGTACGAATGAGATTGGCAGAACTGGCTGAAAAGTCTGTGACAGCTCTACTGGTGGAGCTCACCAGCAGAAGACAAACTCCCACTTACCAGCACCACCTTTTGTTTCATGATGCATATTTTCTGTTATTTAGTTTGCCAAAAAAAAAAAAAAAAACTGTCCTGTTTATTTTGCTTACTTTATGATTAAATAGAATACACAGGATATTATATGGAAATATTCAATGCACCAGCTGAGTGTTGGATTGTTACAGCCACCACCCTCCAACCGCTCTCCCGTTCTTAGTCACCTCGTCACCATTCCTCACTTCATTGAATAATTTACTTAAATTAAAATCATATACATACACAAAAATTATAAGTTATATATGACTCATGTTAATAGGAATTCTATTTCTACCATCTATCATGTTATTAAGGCTGGCAGTGTGCAAATATACCAAGAGATGTATGTAAACAAGCAGCAGTGTGTCAATGAACGATGGCAGACA